TTAAATTGCAACTTTAGTTGAAATTTTAGTTAACTAAAGTTGCAACTTCAGTTTATTAAAATTGTAACTTTAATTAACTGAAATTATATAAGTTTAGTTGACTAAAATTATAACTTTAGTTGACTAAAATTACAACTTCAATTGGTTAAACTTAAAATTTCTATTAACTAATATTGTAATTTTAATTAATTAAATTATAATTTCAGTTGACTAAAGTTGTAATTTAAGTTAATTAAAGCTACAAGTTTAGTTGACTAGAATTGTAACTTTAGTTGACTAAAGTTATAGCTTTAATTAACTTAAGTTGCAACTTTAGTTAACTAAAGTTGTAATTTAGTCAACTAAAATTGTAATTTTAGTTGACTAAAGTTGCAATACTAATTGACTAAATTGTAATTTTAGTTAACTAAACTTGTAACTTTAGTTAACTAAGTTACAACTTTAGTTAACTAAAGTTGCAATTTAAGTTGACTAAATTACAGCTTCAATTTACTAAAATTGTAATATTAGTTAATTAAACTAATAATTTTAGTTAACTAAAATTGCAATATCAATAAATTTCAATTAATTAAAGTTATAATTTCAGTTAACTAAAATTATAATTTCAGTTAACTAAAATTACAACTTTAATTGCTTAAAGTTGAAACTTTGGTTAACTAAAATTGCAACTTAGTTTACTAAACTGCAACTTTAGTTAACTATAGTTGTAACTTTAGTCAACTGAAGTTGTAATTTTAGTTAACTAAAGTTATAATTTTAATTAACTAAAGTTATAATTTCAGTTAATTAAATTGTAATATTTTTTTTTTTCTTTAATAATCTTGGTAAGATCTTTCTTTATGTTCTTTATACTTTTTCTAAACTAATATTCTTAGTATTTAAGATTATTAGACCTCAATTTTATCTGGTTTGTATTTTTAAACTTTTCTGAAACAATTATTATACTAATCCCTATTAGAATCAGAAGGCTTTATCAGACTCTGTATAGTTATTATAAGTTTATGTAGTATCTCTCATTGTCAAATTTTCAGTCTCACATTATATTTCATGACTTTAATTATTCCAAATCAGACTTTAACTTATGTCTGTTATTGTGTAATTTCTCAACTGCAGGCCATTTATTATTTCTGAAATAAATTCATCCTTAGACATCCTAAATCTATGATATTACAATATTACAGTTTCTTATTTTTAAAAATACATTTCTATAATTGCTACCACTAGGATTTAAACTGGCTCCCTTGTGATTTGTGACCTTGAAGCATAACTGCTATGTTATTGATCCCAGAGGTCTAAATTGTAATATTAGTTAACTAAAATTACAATTTTAGTTAACTAATATTACAATCTAGTTAACTGAAGTTGCAACTTTAGTTAACTAAAATTGTAACTTTAGATAACTAAAGTTATATTTTAGTTAATTAAAATTACAACTTTAGTTAACTAAAGTTGTAGCTTTAGTAAACTTAAGTTGTAATTTCAATCAACTAAAATATAATTTTAGTTAACTAAAATTATATTTTAGTTGATTGAAGTTACAACTTTATTTAATTAAACTTAAGTTGCAAGTTTAGTTAACTGAAATTGAAATTTTAATTAATTGAAGTTATAACTTTAATTAACTGAAATTATAATTTTAGTTAACTGAAATTATAATTTCAGTTAATTAAAATTTACTAATATTGCAATTTTAGTTAACTAAAGTTGTAAGGTTAGTTAACTAATATTATAATTTTAATTAACTAAAGTTATAATTTAGTCAACCTGAATTGTAATTTTAGTTAACTAAAATTGCAACTTAGTTAACTAAAATTGCAAGTTTAGTTAACTAAAATTACAATTTAGTCAATTGGTATTACAACTTTAGTTAATTAAAATTACAACTTCAGTTGACAAATTACAACTTTAATTAACTTCAATTAACTAAAATTGCAACTTCAATCAACTAAAGTTGTAACTTAAGTTAAGTTTGATTACCTGACTTCTTATTATAAATTTTACTGTTATTAATTAATAAATTTATTTAAAATATAATATTTAGTACAAAGCATCACATATAATTATAAGTGCAAATTTATTATTTTTAGAATAAACAATCATCTTTTGCTCAAATCTTTGTCAATTAGTTATTATCATTTCATTAGCCTAATAAAAAATCTGATAAAAAAAAAAATTCTAAAAATAAAGAAACCAAGTAATTAAAAATCAATTTTTTACTATTATTTATTATTGTATCTTTAATTATACTCAAAATTTTTTTGCTTAGCATTTTTGATTTCTTGTGTTTAATTTTAGTCAGATTTCAACTTCAGTCACAAGGTATACTTCAGGCATAGTAATGCACCTGAAGTTGGCATCTGCCTAAAGTTGCAACTTCAGTTACAACTTCAGGCAGTGCAACTTCATTCAACTGAAGTTGTAACTCCAGTCAGATGTCAACTTCAGTCACGACAAATTTTTACTGAAAGTTGAAATTTATACCGAATGTCGAAATTTCTACTGAAAGTCCTACCGAAAGTTGAAATTCCTACCAAAAATCGAAATTTCTACTGAAAGTCAAAATTCCTACCAAAAATTGAAAATCCTACTAAAAGACAAAGGTCCTATCTAAGGATGGCTCCGAATTTACTTTGGGCATGCTGAAATATTTTTAGTAAATTCGGTATAAAACCGAAAGTCGAAAGTCTTACTGAAAGTCGAAAGTCCTAAATTCGAAACTCTTACCAAAAGTCAAATCTCATCTCCACTTTTCGACAATGGCCAATTATATCTTGATACAGATACTTTTTGACTTATGACGATTTTAAAAAAGCAACTGTGTCATGATATGATTGGCTTTTGTCAAAGTCTGCATTATGTGATATATTTGAAAATTAAGGACTTTTGACTTTCGGTAGGATCTTCGGCTTCCGGTAGGACTTTCGACTTTTGGTGACTCTTGAATTTCAGACATTTTGGTAAACAAATCCTGTCCAAATGTACTTTTGGTATACTTTCAGTTTCAGTAGGTACCGAAAGTACCTACTTTCAAAGCATCCTTAGCACAAACCGCTATCTATATAATAAAAAAGCCACGTAATAATGAATGAACGGAGATGACAAGTGACATGAAAATTACTCTAAGATGGCGTGCTGAGTAACCTATAAGAAACGATATGATATTTTAAATCTGCATTATAATTACATAACTGGAGTGCATATATTACAAATTTCTTGCATATCTTGAGTGCCAGGACTTATGGCAAAGATTTCCCAAACTATGAATCAGATTCCAAGAACAAGTAAAACTTAACACTATCAAGAAAATTCAAAACAAACCTTTATTTTGTCAATAATTTCTTATTTCTCAAAAATCAGCATAAGTAGCCACCTTTAGTACTGTCACCATCGAATGGGAAAGCCTCCGACAACCATGCCGAGTTTAACTCCGATGGTTGAATACGGAAATCTGATGATAAATTAGGGAACGCAGATTTTACATGTTTAGCAGGCATTTATTATATAAAAGAACGTAGGTTTATGTATTCTTATTTTAGAGACGATTTCAGAGAGCATCCTTTTTTTGAGCTAAGGGTCAAAGCAACCCTTTAAATACATTCTCAATTCTTATAAGGTCTATGCTAAGAACATATCATTTATGTTTTATCTCTGAATCCCACATGCTTTCCCACAGGCAACTCATTTATGCAAGAGCGTATACGCGACTAGGGGAAACTCACATGGGTTAAGCCACTAAGAAGACATAAGAATGTCTAATATTATAAAGGTAAGATTAACATGGCTATGACGATACATTTATGGAAGATATGTGACAACTTAATGAATTAGACAAATAGGAAGTGAAAGACACAAGAAAAAATTATTCGTTACAGTACTCTAAAAAAAGTTTTCGTTGGGAATTTTACTGTATAAACTACTTCCTTCTAATTCCTAAACGTGCTCTAACCCTAACATAAACAAGCTTTAAAGAATTTTTACTATACCAAGAACTTGACACGCATTCAAATAATACAAAATTCTTTTAAACCTTATTGCTATAAAGACCAACATTCATATTAAAATTAAAATTAACATGATTCTATGTCCTTCAGGGATCTGCATCACCATACATCACACGCCCAATTATGCACAACCTATGTATTTACTAAATGGGTTGTTGTCCAGCAAAGCTATGCATAAAGTATATATTTTTTATATACTCAAAGCATGGTTTTGCTGGGCAACAACCCAAAGGCTATACCGATACTCCTCACATCTCCCGTTTTTGGTTTTGCATGACAATGTTGTGCAGCTATCTTATTACTTTTTCACATCTATCTATTCTTGCAAAATTTCCATTGGTCATTTATTCATTAATTTCATATATCGACACCCGTTGAATTCATGTAACATTTAAGTTGACACGGGTTTATAAATCTGTTATAAACCTTGATTTGATTACACATTGCTTACATGCATATTTTGAATAAACATAATGAGCGTAATGTTGATTGTGAAAAAAGACATTACGTATTGTTGACCATCTTTTTTGATCTTCAGCAAAATTGGCTATGTGCCTTATGATATAAATGCCACCAAGGGAAAACTAAAATTTAGGCTATCGTGTTTATTTATGAATTTACGTCTTAAAAAGTCTGACTAGATTAATTCATATGCATTTAATTAAATGAATAAGCATGTTAATTAAGTTTGAATTATTTAATATGTTTAAGATAATCTCACTAAGTTCATTACATTGTCATTAATTGACATTTCGTTTGAATTATTATTTAATTTACTTATTTAGTAAATTAATTCTCGGTGGTTTCGTCACGGGTTATTTGCTAGTCCTACTAGATTTGGATAAATGACAGCCATTACTTATACTAAAAAGAATTTTTAAAAAAGTTGAATGGACCACATTTCATGTTACACATACATGTGATTGTACTTGAACAGCATGATCCACCTGAGTTACATTATCCACAAGATCAAATTTAGCCAACTCAAATTCAGCCACATTAAGAGTAAAATCCATACGTATTATCAACTTCAACCTTATTAAGGATATTAGATGCTTGGTTATCATTAATTGGCTGATCAGAATTAACAGTCACATAATGTTCTTTAATCTTATATTGCAAGAAAACAAACGGAAAATTCTTTTTGTGTACGAATTTTACAGCTTTAGCCAACTTCCTATAGGCAATTTTTACACATTCTGGTTCTTTTTTCCACAGTTTACTTGCTAGTTTAGAAAAATCAACAGGACGAAAATTTGTTTTTTTAATTTCACGATAGAGTTCCATTTTTATAAATGATGAACGAATTGGGAGATTGACCTGGCTCGTTGTCATAAGGAGGATATTTTTTGAGTTCACAAAGCTCTTCAACTGTGATAACAGGTAGGAACGGTGACCTTAATTCAATGTCAGGTAAATTAACTTGGATTTCGTGTATATTTGAGTTTATCATGTACATTGCAAATGTTTTTGGATTTAGTTGCTTTGAGATGGGAAAATCGAGGTTTTTTTGAATCTACTGCACAGGCTGCACAATCTCAGTCGCTAGAGACTATTACTCATTAGGTTTCGCGTTTATATATATAAAACATCTACTTAATATGTGTAAAGTTGGGCTCTCATCATTTTTAATTAATGTTTCAAGGTTAGTTTAAACGTCAGTTTTTGTTGTTTTGCTTTTTTTTTCACTTTTTCTCTGCATATCGGTGAATTGATAATTCTGGTCAAATTTGCAGATCATTTGGCCAGATCTAGAACAAAACAACTTTAAATGTGTCAAATGATCTGCAAGTTTGACCAGAATTATGAACGACGGATTCTATTAATCAGGTGATGCGGATTTCCGATTGGTAATTCAAACCTGGATTATAAAGCTGGCCAGAATTATGAAATTGCACTGCGCAGTGTCCCATCTCTAGGCATGATTAGTATATTTGTTATATTCGTCAGCTTGATTAAGCTTTATTAAGAAAGATAAAGGAAAAAGAAACGACGTATATATGTCTTTTTTTTTGAAAGGAAAGTGTTAAAGTAATTTGTATTACGCACATACATACATGGATAAGATATCCAGAAATAGTCCGTTTATAACATAAGAAATGAATTAAGGCAATATTAACAATTTATAATGATATGCATACGTGGAAAATCTTTGATCAGAGATCAATATTTTCAATCTACATCACAATTTGCTATATTTGAGTAATTATAGATTATTGAAATACAATTTTATTAAATGACTAATATTTATTTACATATGGTTTGAAGAAATGTCATTTAGAAAATGTAACTGGTTATATATTTAAATGTTTTATGTGGACAATCCGAAAAAAATGTCGCTGCACTACAAAAAAACCACTACCAACTAGTAATTTCAAGTAAAGGAATTTTTTTTGATATCAAATCTTTTTTAATACAAAGAATAAAAAATTGATAATCATTTCAATATAAACGTAATTTATATTATCAGGTCGGAAGTGGTTGGCGATCACGCAACTGCGACATTTTTCTGCCATGACTAACCTACCTACAATTTAATTCAAGTTCTATAATTCCATTTAAATCTGTTCGCGATTATTATTTAGTAATTAAGTCTAACTGCTTATTCTGGACTAATAGTAGCGAATTTATCTCTTATATAATAATTATGAAAGCCTTCCCTTTAAAAAGAGCTTTATCATATTGTTGCAAAATTACGCTAGGGCATTGTTTTTAAGCGAACAATTTCCAGAGAACTAAAATTAATTTTAACTATCTTTGAAAATTAATTCTTGGCATTCTGAAAATTGGTTTTCCAGATAACGACCTAGGCATTATTTGCGGTATATTCAAAAAATAATAATAAAAAAGCACTAAAACTAAATTTTGAAAAAAAATTTTGGATCAAATTTCCGGAGAATTTTAAAGTCGAAATATTATGTGACTGTGCCCTCGATTGGTGGTGGTAACGCTGGGACTGTTACTTAGATACTGTTTCTATTTACATATAAACTGAACTTTATAACAAAATTTAAAGTTCGGCTTGGACATAAATTGTTGTCGTGTTTAGTTTGTTTAGGATGGGATTAGGATTATAGACATAACATTTTTGAAATAATAATTTAGTAATGTGAAAATTTAAAACAAAATAACAATATAATTTATTAAAATTTTATTAAGTCAATAACAATATAATTTATTAAAATTTTATTAAGTCATTAAAAATTACTACGTAAATGACACGTGAGCAAACGAAAAAAGCGAAAATACAAGAAAAGAGTACTTAAACTATCTTGGGACACCAGTTAAAAATGGCAGGAATGGATTGTTTATTCCTATTGTAACTTTCTATCCCCTTATTTCTCGTTGGAGTTCCTTTTTTGGTTTTGTATTACTCGCACAAATAAATATTTCTGTCTAGTTCCTACTACACTTTGTAAAGCTATTATTAAATCTGACGATATTTCTTGGCGTTATCTATTTTTGAAGAACTAGAATCAAAAACAATAAGTATAAATTCTACCTCTATTGGACCAATCTTTCCATTTGACCTTCCTTATTTGAGAGATCTACATCGACCAATCAAATTGTAAATTTTACGAAGAAAAAGAAAAACAAAATTTATAAAGAAATTAGAAGTTCGAATATATCATGAGGCAGTAATAAAAATGTCGAAGGAGCAATTTTACAGTACTAACCTCAAACAAATTCTAGTCTAATTTATAATACTTTGCTTTAGATACACTTCCAAATAATAGAAATAATAGGGAATGTTAAAGCCAGGTACAAGTTAGAATTACCTTCTTGATGTTGGCAGGGTTAATGGGTTATATAGATATCAAGAATATTATTTATGCAGCATGCAGGTCATGTAGATCATTATATGAATGTCACAAATAAGGAATTTGAAATTAGGTCGGTAAAATTGGTCCTTCCATTGAATCATGATGGATGGTATAGTTACATTAAACAGTCGATAAATCATATACTATACTTCATAGAAAGCATCTGTAAGTGAAATAGATGAATTTACCCTTCAAAGAAATAAACTTTGTACTGTCTACTATTGCATAGTTTGCTCAAACCGAGGATTAAGAAATGTCGCACACCTAATGCACTATTAATTTTGTGCAAACAATAATAATATATGCAAATCAATTGTGGTGTACTACTAATATATGATATATAGTATTAAGTCACTCCACTTGTATTCGCGCTGGGTCTGAGTAATTCCTTCAAGATTCAGAAAGAGCCATTAGGCTTACAAATTTTAATCTTAAACCAATATGAATAACTTTCAAGGCCTTTGTATTTATTTTGTTTTTCTGTTTTCATTTGTAAATTGTCAAACTATTCCAGATGGCCAAATACAACATACAAGTTCTATAATTAATTCTAAACTTTATTTTTTTTGTGGATCAACGAAAATTACAAACACTTCTAATGAAGTATTTTATATCGATTTATCGAGTACATTTGATACGTCTTCACCTCCGTTCAAAACTTCTACTGAAATGCCGGTTGGAGATAATTTAGCTACTTCATGCGCTAGTACAATTAATAATTCAACAATTTTTCTAATCGGTGGAAGAATGATTTCAGCCACTTCTGCAGTATATAGATTTGATTCTATAAATTCACAATGGACAATACCAACAATTAATGGATTTAATAATTCATTCCTTAATCGTAATGAATTTCAGGTAGTTATTGATAATAATGGAAAAATTTATATTCTTAGTGGGACTGATGGTGCTTACACTCATGGAGTCACTAATCCTGATGGGACATTATATTATGATATGAATTTATTTGATACTTCATCTATGTCATGGTCAACACTTATTTTACCCGCAAATATTATTCCTCGGGCTGATTATACTGCAACATTACTGCCAACCGGCCTTATTATCTATATTGGCGGCCATACTAAATTAACACCATCCTCATCATATTCTTTTTCTGATATGAATGATGTATTATTATTATTATTATTATTATTATTATTATTATTATTATTACAGTATTATTATTATTATTTTGTTAATTTATTTATATAATAATGCGAATTACTAACCAAATTAAACAAATATAGATCATTATATTCGATACAAAATCCTTAAGCTGGTCTAATAAAGTAACTATACATAAATCCAAGTTATTTCATATTCATTAAAAACAATTTTTAATTTTTTAAATTTATCATATTCAAGACAGCTAGCGGTGCTTCTATTCAACCTCGTGCTGGACATACCGCAATTTTTAGTAAGAATAAGCAAATATAGATTAATTTTGTTGAAATAACATTTTCAAGTACATTTGAATAAAATTAACTATTCAAAATTTAATATATATATATTTATATATATTTTAATTAGGTAAAGATGGAAATATTATTATTTATGGAGGTGCAAAAAACTCTCTTCAAGTGTTCCCTGATCTTGCAACTTTAAATACGAATACCTGGATATGGACTACTCCTAATATCCCAACTTTAAATGCTCCACCACCACTAAACCGTCATTCTGCAAATTTATATGGAATTTATATGATCATTGCATTTGGTAAGTATCACTTCTAATGTTAAGAGTTCTTGGTTTAGATTTTCATCAATATTTTATGATATATTTTATGTCAGGTCGAAGAACTGATCCTGTAGATAAAACAGCACCAGTATATGAAAATAGTGTTTATATTTTAAATACGGAAACTTATTCATGGATCACATCATTTGATTCATCCAATAAAACAAGCAATAAAACAGGCCAAGGTACTACAACAAATGGTGATGGAGTGTCAAAAAATGGGGATGGAGTGTCGAAAAATAATGATTCAGCAGACAGTAAAAATATTTCAACAAATCAGATAATTTTATATGTTTTGCTAGGCTTTATTGGAATAATTAGTTTATTCTGTACTGTCTTGTTTTATAAAAAGTGTTGTAAACCTAATGTCGAACCTCTTAATCCTGCTCCATGTCCTAATCCTGATCCATATCCTAATCCTGCTCCATGTCCTGATGATAATAAACCTCATCATAGTGGTGGCTGAAGCAGAAATTTGATTATGCCGAAAATTTGCCGCATTTTCTTATAAAATTGTGAAATTATTTAAAGCCTTTTTTGTTGACTTTTTTTTTAGTTAGGTTAGGGTTAGAGGTAGTATTATCAAAAAGAATGTATGTGGATTTTTAGTAGGTATTATAGCTTAAAAATGGGACCCCAATTTTCAGCATAATTGCCAACAATATTCATACTTATGACATTCCAATGCTCAGTTGTAATGTATATGGCAAAAAAAATAAAGTCATAAAAAAAATGTCTGGCAATGAAGTCATCAAAAATATATGCAACAATGAAGTCATAATACCAACGTTTTTTAAATAATTGGTCAACAAAAAATTTGCTAATTAATAGCAGAAGTGTCAGATCTAATCGAATTAGTCAAATAGTTTGATCTATTAATCAGTTTGTTATTTAAATATTATATATGCAACTTTTATTTTTTTACTAGATACTAAATCTGTCATTCGATGATGGGTTATACTAATCTATTTTAGATTAAGAATAGAGTGTATACAGATTAATCAATTGTAATGTAATTTGGTAACAATTAAATTTTTATAGAAAATTAAAATATAATACTGTATTAATAAAAATTTTTACAAAACAAAAATTTATTTATACCCAGATTATTTTCACTTCGCATAGTTAGGATTAAAGCTATATATATGTAATTATGCAGAAAGTTTATTTATTAGAGCTTAATAGGTAGTTTCATTAGTATGATTTTGAAATGTCATTTAAACTTCCTCAATTTTTCTTTGCCGGTGTGAGCAGTAGAATGGTGGGGCCGGAAGCTTGTGATCGGTGACGGGTATGTAGATCATATACCTGAAATAGG